GCTTACGGTGTTTAGCACCTGGCTAGCTCCTTTGAAGTTTAAATTTAAAAATTTATATTTAGTTATTTGAATTTTTCATGAAGCATTTTCTTTCATCTAACTACAAAAGGAGAAATTAGGTAAAAATGAAAATATATCATCTTGGAGCACACAACCAGCCAAGATAAGACAGCATTTGCTATCATAGGGCTGCCATCTACTGGCTGAAATGATCATTGTTCAGCCTTGAGTAAGACAAGCAGAACTTTGAAACTGAAGAAAAGGAAAATAATCATAATATTTTAAAGACCTAGTCTTCATAGAAATATATCTATATTTTAATTTAGATTCTATTACCTTTTTTATCTTATTTCATTATCATCACACCCCCTACTTTGCATATGTTGATATTGACACGAACATAGCAGACCTCTCTCCTTATTAAAACTTGCTTTCTTGAGAAAGTTGAATATAGATCCAAGGGCAAGAAGAGCAAACTGGGCAATTGCCACTTTTCATCCTGTTTGCTGATTGTGAACATTCTGCTCATTTGTTTTTCCATTTCTTGCTTGCTTTATGAAAATTATACTCTCAAGTGGAGTCCTGTGAGCCAGTCCTTCATTCTGGCTGGGATGTTTGCTGGTGTGTGCTTGGAAGCGCTCATCCAAGCATCCAAGCTGTTGAGAGTTCAGAGACGCACAGTATGACTGTCATGCCCAGAAGAGTTTACTTCCCAGGTGTTCTCAGGGTTCTCTAGCTTTGATGATCTTTCTGCATCCTTTTCTGCAGTGTTCCCTGATCCTTTGTAGATGTTTCATGTTGGGATTCGTACTTCAGAGTCACTAAGTCTTCCCTTTGATCAGTAATAAATTTCCATAAGAACTTCTGTTTATGGAAGAAAGACATTTCTTTGATAACCAGATAATCAGAGCTGCTATGATCTTTGACAATTAAGATAAATATTTAGAAAGAGTTGGATACTAGGTCAATTTACGAAAATGGTAATATTTTTTCTCTAAGGTCTGAAATCTCTCTATTCATGGCTTCTTGCCTAGGTTTACAGTTATAGGCATGAGTTGCCTCCAACTGAGCAGGTATCAAGTCTAAGGAGACTTGTCAAGGTCTCCTGATTCCCTGTGCTCAAGAGGTCGACCTATCTATGTTTCTGAACACATGATCCACAATAAATGTGGTCAGTAGAAGACAGAAACACAAAAGCATACACAGACACATGAATATATGTGTGTGTGTATATATATACGCACACACACACACACACACACACAAACACAATAGTTACAAAAGAAAATAGCATACAAAAGAAAATAGATGGATGTAGGGAAAGTGTAGAATAAGTTAAAAGTGGGAGAGGTTTGTAGAAATATCATGTATATATATATATACATATATATATAAATTACTATACACATGTAATTGTACTTAACATATAATTACATATATTATGTACAATTACTTACATATGTAAGTATATTTATTATATCATTTATTATACATTATATTATATATAACAACACATACAGATATATAACATATAGTATATTACATAGTATATATAATATATGATATATGAGATTCATGGATAAAGTTAGTGCATGCCACTAAAGTAGCAGTTGTCCTCCCAAAATGAAGCAAAATATTGCTGTAACACTTTTGGAAAAGACAGTAGCTCTTATATTAAAAGTGAATTTGATAAGATGTTGAATATATGTCCAGAATGAAGAGCAGGTAGCTAACAAGAAAGCTCTCGACTAGCCTGAGAGGATGTTATCTTAGATATTCCCAAGTCCTGCTTTCAGAATTGTGATATCTTGACTTAATAAAAGGCAAATACTCAAGTTAGAGTCCATAGAATATGTTTCCACTTAATCTGCTTCAAAGTAGCATTTGAAAAATGTTTGCCTAGTTGAAAACTGAATCTTTAAGTAAATAACATTAAATAAGCATTGCTTTGTTGTAGAGTGCAAATAGGAAACTGAAAATAAATAATTAAACTAAACAAAAGGGCAGATTCTTCTGTGAGAAGATTACACTTACTTTTACCATATATAGTTTTTCTTCATATATAGTTATTAAACGCCCATTGTGTGTTTTGTAGACAGAAAAGTGTCTCATTTATATTTGCTATTTTTAAAACATAATAAAAATTAGTTTATTGCACTAATACTAATAAATACTTCTTTTAAAACTTGAAGTTTGATTTATGACTCCTTAACCTATTTCTCACAGGCATAACAAAACAATATTTTAAAAAATCAATAGTTAGCTCATGTTGAAAATAAACATCTTTATAAATTGACTACTTCTCAGACTTTCTACCATATGAATGCATGTGATAATTTTAAAAAGTTTTAGTTACTTTATTAGACAAAAACCCACAAATCTAATATATTATGTAGGCAGTAACATTAATTTTAATATAGGAGCTACAGTTATCTTCAGTTTTCACAATTGAGTTAATATATTTGGTTAAATTTTTTTTTTAAGATTTATTTATTTCATGTATGTGAGTACATTGTCGCTCTCTTCAGACACACCAGAAGAGGGCATTGAATCCCGTTATAGACAGTTGTGAGCCACCTTGTCGTTTTCAGTAATTGAACTCAGGACCACTGGAAGAGTAGTTAGTGCTCTTAACTGCTGTGCCATCTATCCAGCCCTTGGTGTGGATATTTCCTTTATCTACATTTCCAATTTTTCCCAGTCCCCTTCCCACCCCCTATCTCATTCTCTCCACCCTCCTTCTATGAGGGTATTCTCCCACCCACCCACTCACCCACCCACCTACTTACCCACTCACCCACTCACTCCGACTCTCTGCCTTCCCATTCCCCTACACAGGGGCATCGAACCTTCACAGAACAAAAGGGCCTCTCCTCCCATTGATGTCAGATAAGGCCATCCTCTGCTACATATCCAGCTGGAGTCATGGGTCCCTCCATGTATGCTCTTTGGTTGATGATTTAGTTCCTGGGAGCTCTGGAGGATCTGGTTGGTTGATATTGTTGTTCTTCCCATGGGGTAAACCCCTTCAGCTCCTTCAGTCCTTTCTCTAACTCCTCCATTGGAGACCCTGTGCTCAGTCCAATGGTTGGATGCGAGCATCCGCCTCAATTTGTCAGGCTCTGGCAGAGTCTCTCAGGAGACATCTATATCAGGCTCCTCTCAGCAAGCACTTCCTGGCATCCACAATAGTGTCTTGGTTTGGTGACTGTATATGGAATGGATCCAAGGATGGGGCAGTCTCTGGATGGACTTAGTTTCAAAACTTATAGCAAAAATGATATATTAAATAAGAAATATGATTGTTGTGAGCTTTCTTAAACTTTGAAGTTCTTTAAATCACAAGTATACACTTAGGAACACATTTTGAGTATTTGAAGAGCATCACTAAGGGGCTAAGGAGAGGCTGAATCAGTAAAGTGCTTCCACAAGGGTATGAGAACCTGTGTTTGAGACGGAGTATCTAAACAGCCCAGCCTAGCATGCTCTTTTAATTAGTATGCCTAGGAAGCACAGACAGTAAGACCAATAGTTCTCACTGGTCATTCTTTTTGCTCAGTCAGTGAGCCCAAGTCCCAGTGAGAGAACTTGTCTCAGATAGGGACGAAAATGATGATGATGAAGAAGAGGAGGAAGAGGAGGAGGAGGAAGAAGAAGAGGAAGAAGAGAAAAAGCAGGAAGAGGAGGAAGAGGAGGACAAGGAGGAAGAAGAAGGAGAAGGAGAAGGGGCAGAAGAGGAGGAGGAGGAGGAGGAGGAGGAGGAGGAGGAGGAGGAGGAGGAAGAGGAGGAAAGAATGAAAAGAAAAAATAAGAGTCACAAAGAGTATCACCCAGATTTGACCTCTGATTTCTACACACTTGCAGCCTAGTAGATGCCAACACACATGCATAAGTATGTATCCAAGTGTAAATGTGTATATAATATATAAACATAGAAAAAAATCCAATAAGGTATTTTTCAAGCATCATATTTTTTGTATTTATTTTCAGTGCCAGCTACAGTTCTGGGCACACAGCAAGGGAATAATTTAACCATTCTAAACGAAGTTCCTATTTCCAGAGATATGCTGTGACTATTTACTTCTTTGCCAGAGACGTTCATCTGGGACATATCAGGACAGGGAGACTAGGCTTGCCCAGAACAGGCCTCCTGGGCTCACTGATGCACATGGATTACAGTCCGTGGTAATGAGAAGAAAGAACAGTCAAAGTCCTCATGCTTCATAGGTGATAACATTTCTAAAGGTCCAGTCATGCCCCCATGTTTCCTATTTTAGAAAAGAATGTTGTCCTCTCCTCCTGAGCTATCGTTAATGTCTTTATTTCTTTCTCTAAAAACACATAGTGGTTTCTCAAGATCCCACATACATTAAAAAAAAATCCTAGGACCTTTTTTTAAATCTGCGGCTTCTCCTCGTGCTGCAGCTAAAGTCAGTCAGTCATGCTGCTGACTCCAAGAACACTTGAGCCCTCTTTACCAGTCTTCTCTGACTCGGCTATAAACTCACATATTGGATGACTGCAGATATGACTTCAACAGACTTTGTATTTACTGTGGTAAAATCATATTAAAGTCATCAGATTTGATGTAAGAAGCACTTGAATTAACTGAACCACATTTAATCCTGATACAGCGATAACAGTAGAACAGTTGGTATCGAGGTTGAAAGAAGCTTGCTAAAATGATATGGGCCCAGGCAATGTCACCAAATAGGTCTCAGCACTCACCAGTGTCCCCCAGTGCTTTTCTCCTAACAACACTGAGTGCTACTGCTTTTCCTGATTCAGAAAGAAAATGGTGCCTGGAATTCACAGCTAAGAGGCAATTGAGGCTTGCCACACAGCCTTGTGGGGATTCATCCCTGCCCTAAGCTATAGTGCTGATGGCCTCAAGTTGAATGTGTGTTAAAACTGATATGTTTGACCTAACAGTGGCTTCTACCTGGCCCTCAGATGAGGGGACAGACATTGACTCGTTTTCCTCTGTGTCGCCTCTGCAGGTAATGAACTGTTTGCTGGCCTCTACAGTGACTACTGGGGCAGAGACTCGGCCATCTTCCGCAGCATGGGGAAGCTCGGCCACATTCGCACTGAGCATGACGACGAGAGGCTTCTGAAAGGTAGAAGTGACGAATCAGAAGCAAGTCTACCATCCATGACTGAGTCTACCATTTCGATAATAAAAATATAAACTCAACATAGCATTTCTAACTATCATAATGTCCTGTCCAAAATACACAGTTTATCACTTTATGTATAAAATATACTAATTATACAATAAGTTTATTTACAACAACTCTTAGATATCAAGAATTAAATGAAATGAACAAGATGAATATATGAAAGTAGAGACTCATTTAATGGCGTCTGCCTGTCTCGTTAACTGGTATTGGTGCTGTAGTGATGGCTTGCTTTAATAGGATCCTGCTGCATTCTAGAGATAAATAAAACTCTAAGAACATCACACACACACACACGCACACGCACACGCACACATGCACGCACGCACGCATACATACATATAAAATTACTAGTATATCTAGGAGTGAAGATGACAGGTTGTATTGGACATATTCATCATTTCCAGAAGTCCATGATTGAGTGTCAACATGCATATACGTTATCATTTAAATGTTCAGTATCTTATCAATCAAAGCCACCTACTCAGGTTCTGTAGACTATAAAGGCAAAAGCTAAAATTTCTCACTTTAAGATCTTCCATGAGGTTTATTGATACGTTATATATAAATGAAAGATAAATGACAAGATACTTTTAAATTTTAATGTTGAGTTTTTATGTACATTCAGTTTATATAGATTGAGAAGAAATTCATAGATTGTTTTCATAATACGTCCTGCTTTTCTTCACTAAATACATTTCATTTGTAACGGACACTATAATATTTTCTGAAACCATGACCCTTATGTTTTCTATTTAAATTGCATTTTAAAATAGATATTGATTTGTACATAAAACAAGAATAATGATCCAGGTTTCAATAATCATCTAAAACTTTCAAGAATATATTTTCTCAGAAGTGGATGAAACTTTGACAAGCAGGTGATAATTTTTTACTTTTTTATGTTTTTTTCGGTAGAACCAAAATTCGTAGGTTCATATATGATTCCCGATAACGAAGACCGAGATGACAACAAAATGTACTTCTTCTTCACTGAGAAGGCGTTGGAGGCGGAGAACCACGCCCACACAATCTACACCCGAGTGGGGCGGCTGTGCGTGGTGAGGCTGGGCAATCCGTGGCATTGTGCTTTATTACCTCAGTTTACCTCACTCACCTCCGTCTGTATAGCTAGGCATTTGTTACATTGCTTTACACTGTTTTACCATTTCATTGGTTCTTTACGGGAGTTTCATACAACACCCTTTGATCATATTTGTCTCCCCTCCCTCAACCCTTCGTTACCCATGCGACTTCGTGTTCTCTCGTAGGCTTCTACTAGAAGTATATGATATCTTGTAATATTCTCTAGACTTTTCTAACTTGGTATTTACCAAACCAAGGTTCCTGTGCTATATCCACAATAGCTTTACTGCTAATGAACATTTCACCTTAAAAGTGGCTTAACGTTGATGAGGTTTTGCATTTTCAAAGCAATGCTAAATAGTAGTCTAAAATTAGCATTTAATCCCAAATAAAAGTTTGTTCTATTTTTAAAAATATTCTATGTATTTGTTAGTTTGGTTGTGTTCATATATGTCTCTGTGTATATTACTGCTCATGTATGTTGTAGCATGGGCATAGATGCTAAGATCTGCTCTCACCTGCCACCATTTGAGTTCCGGGGACTGTAACAGCCCATTCTGCCTCACGTTTGGGGGCCACTTTGTCCCGGCCTGAGCTGCTGCTCTGATCTGTGGGTCAGGGTCTAGCAAGAGAGAAAGTGGGGATGGAAGGGCAAGAGACACGAAGAATGGAAACAAGACAGAGAGTCTGTTCAAGTCCCATTTATTAAAAGGAAATCAAGGGTGTATATATAAGCACAAGCAGGGGAACACAGCTGAAGACACTTTACCACACTCGCCTTGCAGCTGGGGGCACTAAACAACAAAACAAGATATGTGAGAAAAACAAGATGTTTATCAGAGTGTGCTCAGCTGTTGCGGGCTGTTGAAAACAAGTCTCTTGTCAGGGTATATGGCCCGAGATAGCTGCAAAGATGGTAGCCGTTTTCTGCTCAGAGTCGGCTCCCAACAGGGGACTGAATTCAGATCCTCTGGTTTTGTTGCAGATCCCTTAACCTCCTGCCTCAGCATGTTGGCCCAGTTCCACTGTATTTTTAAATTCAATTTAACCATTTTTGTTATTAGGATCCCAATCTTTGGGGGGTATATACGCCTGGGTACAAACCATTCAGTTGCTTAGTTCTAAAGTAAAATAAAAACAAAACAAAACTTGAAGAAGTACAGTTGCTTTGGCATTTAGTAAGATATTTAATAAAAACAACATACATGTCATATATAAATACAAACATATGCAGCTGAGAACAATCTTGAACTCCTAATTGTAGAGATTTCAAATATTAATCACCTTGACTTGCCTCGTACTTGAATGAAAGTACTACACTGCGGGGCTGCAGAAATAGCGTAGCAGTTAAGAGTACTTGCCGCATTTGAGAGGAGCTTAATTTACTTCCCAGCACCCACCCCAAACAGTGCATCGCCACCTGTGGGACTCCAACCCTGGGGATCAGATGAGCTCTCCGGGCTGGAGCACTTTAATATACAGTGCTCAGACATGTACTCGGTGAACCTAAAATTGAAACAGTCTTGATTTAAAAAGTATTGCACTAATAAGGCAACGCAAGGGAGACGTGAGAAGGCAGGGTTCGCTTTCTGAGTGTTTTGCTCAGTTTTCCTAAGTAAATAAAAAGAGCCGCAGCCTCTGCTCACTTTGCATATTAAACCTTGGTTGGTAAATGTCCTTGGAGTCCTCATTTGTCTATTTTGTTTTTTGCAGAATGACATGGGAGGACAGAGAATCCTGGTGAATAAGTGGAGCACATTCCTTAAAGCACGGCTGGTTTGCTCAGTACCAGGAATGAATGGAATTGACACTTACTTCGATGAACTAGGTAGCAATTACTGGAGGATCTTCACTCTTCTGTGTGCATGCTTCTCTATAACCACCCCTCTCTTAGGCATAGGTGAAAAATTTGGCTGCTATGGTATTTGCACTGTGTACCAAAGACACATTTCTATCTATTCATTTTGATCCTGCCACCTCCTAGGGCAGAATTGTTGCAGGACAGAGACTCCTCTCTCTTCTGAAGAGAAGCACTGTTGGGTCCTTCTCTTCAGGTTCAGTCCCCCAGAGGAGAGCAATGATTCATTGTTCTACCCTGATCACAGCTGTACAATGGGAAATTGGGTCTTTAAATCTACAGTTCTGAACTATTTTATGGAAATACGTTTTCATTGCATGAGTAGAAGGTTAAAAACACAAAATGATGGAATGGTTTTTCACTCTTTCAGAGGATGTGTTTTTACTGCCTACCAGAGATCCTAAGAATCCAGTGATATTTGGACTGTTTAATACTACCAGGTGAGAAATTTATAGTCAATAAAACACTATAGATTTGTCTCACTGCAGTTCCTTTCATGGTGTCCATTACTCAGAAACACTGCTGACTCCATTGTCATTCTCATCCTCTGCGCTCTGTAAGTGTCCAGCCTCTATTGCTTTCCCCTGACTGCAGCTATCCGTCTTTCAGCTTCAGAACCACGATCTCAGTCTAAACCTTTTTGTTTTGGTTTTTTGCATCCCAGCATCTTCATGAAGGCACACTCCCAAGCCCTTTAATTACTCATGGGCAACCATCTGACACGATTTATTGATCAGGTTGTGGGATATTACTTGTATCCTCTCAAGTCTAATGTAATTCTTTAATTTACTTCTCAGACGAAAATTTCTAATCCACTCAGGCTTTCAAAGTGCTCCGGTAGCTGCCAGCTTTAGTTTAGGGGTATTATCTCTTATTATTTTAGGAGCCAATAATACTTTGACAGATCACAGCATTTACATTGGCAGCTCTTAGCATTAGGTCTTTTATCTACTGTTACTGTCGGACGTGACCCTCCTTTTCAACTTCAGTTTATATCAGTGCTTGATATGTAAAAGTAACTTTTATTCACCTGACGTAATTGTCGTCTCTGAGACTTACTGCTTTCGTCTGCTAACCTAGGCCTAGTCCTAGAAGCTTCCGGCCTCCATGCAGTCTTACCTAGACCTAGAATGTTTTCAGCCTCTAAGACTCCCTGTTGAATAAGGTCACCTATCCCTAGTTCTTTCTGATCTCTGGTTGACTGATAAACTCAGCTGTTCTTGCTTCCTCCCCAAGATGACCAATTCAATCTGGCTTCTCTCACTTTCTCACTGAATCTTCTCCTTGGCCTCACAGTAACTTTGGCAATCTGTTCTAATCTTCTAGCTCCTTCTCATTCCCTGGTTTTTTCTGTCTTCACTTGTGTCTAGCTTGTCTTCTCTCTGCAACCTGTATCCATACAACTGCTTCCTCTCCTCTCTCTCTCTGGGCGGCTCTCTCTTAAGTACCCTGTCTTTCTTTCTGTTCACTTGAGAGTTGGGCATATCCTATTACGGTAAATCTTCCTGTGATTTGTCACTTTGTCTGCCACTCAATTAGACATCACTTTCAAACTAGGGTGCAAACTACAAGATAACTTTACCTTCATTGTTTGGGGTAAAAGGTGGGTGCTAAAGCTGACCCACACCACAGCTAGAAATAGGTTTTTTTTCCAGCAAACAACACAATCTCAGGTTCACAGTGTAACCAAATATTCCATAACACTAATACTTGCTACTCGTGTCTGAGAAGTGATCCTGATTCCTCAATCAGGAGCATCCTCACACCTTTGTTCTTGTCTGCTTCTAATGTGGACCCACACTGAATGCACCTGTGCCATTTGCCCTCCGTCTGAAATGCAGTGCTCAAGTTTAAAGCTTATAGATGTGTTACATTTCTCCTTTGCATTTTTTGAATTTTCTATGTCTATGGAAGAGTGCTATAAAGTACTATATTAATATGTGAAATAAGAAATACTTCTAGAGCGGATTTCAGTTGGAAGTTATAAACCCAATTTCTTGAATGTCTTTCGAAAGGAAAATGGAAACACCAAGAAAATATTCAGTATTTCAATAGAGTACTCAATCAACAATGAATTAACTATAAATTGCAATATGACCCTGAACCTGGTGTTTACTTGGGGTCTTTCCAGACTTTTGCTTAGGTTTTCATTAGGTGATTTTTAATGATCACTTTGAATGGAAAAGATCGAGAAGCTCTTTGAACAAGTATCTCACTGTAACAAGAACTTTTCTTCCATAGACTAATATGGAAAACAGTTCTTTTTCTTAACTATACTCTGATTTAAATTTTAAAGTTAACACATATTGCTAGTCAACACAGGCAGCCTCTTTTACTTCATTTTTCTTATGCCAGCAAATATTTCTTTGCATAATAATTCTTAAAATGATAAACTCTATGAAATAATCTGTACATTTTCCATTGGTTAAAATGACCAGTTTAAAAGCAAATCTGCAAAGTGATAGCATATTGGATCATTCAGAGAAATCAAAGCCATGATTTCCTTCCATGATTTCAACTTTGTTCAATTTATATATAAATCTGAGAGGGGAAAAAAGCTCCCAGCTGTACCTGCCACGGAGGCTGATATTTGTAGACTGGTGATCAAAGGTTTATTGCCACTTCAGCTGAGACTGTCTAGTTTTTGCCGGTATCACAGGCATTTCCAATTGCTTCAAGGTGTGTTATAAAATGTGTGAATTGCTGTCCTAAGACAGTGACATGACTGCTGTTCTACAGCTGGCCCAGGGTGCGGGAAATCCATTTGCACTGAGTTTACATTTACTAAAGCTCCCTCACAAACATCATTTATTTTAATTCACGTAATATAGGGCTGCAGCAGGGTGTATTTCTTTCCAATGATGGCTCTCTGTTCAAGTAATATAGCACTAACTTTTTACTAAATGTGATTCCAGATGCTTGTAATGACTTGTATTAAGTGATGATCTTATTCCTCTGCAAGTAGAACTTCTTTCCATTTTAAAACTCATTGATCTCTGCTGCATATGTGTATCAAGTCTTTGAGTTTTATATAATCTTTCCATCACTGAACAACTCAGTGACCTGTTTACAAAACTCTGTGCTGAAAAGTAGCACAAAGGCCACAAGAAAAAAATCTAGCAAAATACAAAAGAATTTGTAGTAAAATTAACAGCATGGTGATTAAGAGAACACTGTCTACATTCAAGCTATAACAACTAGAAATTCTTCCTTTAAATGACAAATTCAAATTGCTAATAATCTTTAAAAAGACATTAAAAGGGAGGTTGGAAAGATGGGTATCAGGAAAAGAACTTGCTTTTCAAGCCTAGCAACCTGAGTTTGATCATTAGAGTGTTTGAAGGAGAGAATTGAGTCTTGAAAAATGGCATCTGCTCTACATACACACTGTAGCTCATGCGATTCCAAAAGAAGTGTGTGTGTGTGTGTGTGTGTGTGTGTGTGTGAGAGAGAGAGAGAGAGAGAGAGAGAGAGAGAGAGAGAGAGAGAGAATAATTTAAATAAATTTAAAAACACAATATAGGACTTAACAATTACAAAGTGAAGTTGCACAATTTTATCCTTAAAATGTCATTTACACATTTATTATGTGGGAAATGAAGGAATGATAGGTCTTTCAGTCTCATTACTTAAAATATTGTTATAGGTAAGATTTCTATAATATTCTATAAGTGCTTTTTACTCCAGAGACTTAATTCTAATGTATATATTTCGGTGTATTTGACCAAGTGAATTCTTAATTTCTACTTTTCAGCAATATATTTAGAGGCCATGCTATATGTGTGTATCACATGTCAAGTATCCGGGAAGCCTTTAATGGCCCATATGCACATAAAGAAGGCCCTGAATACCACTGGTCACTGTATGAAGGAAAAGTCCCCTATCCAAGGCCTGGTTCTGTAAGTATAATCGTTTAACCTACTGGTTTTATGTTTGAAGTCTTTGTTTAATTTATTCTCTTTTACTTTGCAGTTAAAGTGCTTAAGAATTTCATATCTATAAGAATGTTCCAAAGTAAAGAGCTAACAATGGCATGTTGGGTTTTATGCTAATTATTTAATGCCAGGGACATAACCTTGAGTGGTTAAGTCTTAGCAGCATTATAAAGTATGCCCCCACTGATATTTCAGTCCAATAGCGACAAATGAATTTTCAGTTGTGGGGTGCTGGTAAGCATGGAAATACTCAATAAAATGGGGATAGTATAGTTTTCTTCGAGACTGTAGAGGCTAATTAGCATCACATGTCACTTCTAAGCAATAAAATCCTTTTTGATTTTAACATTTTAATATTTGTGTTGACTTCTGTATTTCCCAGGACAGACTTGCTCTTTAGGTGTTCCATCCTTTACTTCTGCAGTCTTACTACCAAAGGTCTAGTTATATCAACTTCTGTCCTTTTTACTAGGACAGGTCTAAAACTCACAATAATGAAGATGGTGATGTAGATTTAGATTCTAGATCACATAAGCAACTAAGTTGGAAAAGGTTTCCCTGCTGTGTATTCTATATGAGTCACAGTGTGCAGACATTTAGCTGGTCAAGCAGGTCCGTATCTTCATATCAGCAAGCAGTGGTGAGACTGGGATCCTACAGACTCATAGAGGAACCATTTTTGTAATGCCAAAGCTCCAAATGACAGCCAACCTCACCTCCATTAGCAAGTGTAAACCTTTATCACGATAATCAGCCTCACTGACTTAAAATTATGACTTCCAGTAAGATATAAAGTATATTTTATTTCACTCTATTGCTTGAAATTGCAATCTAAATGGGGAACCCCAGTCCTGTGGCTTAAGCTGAAAATGCTTCTTGAAACCACATGGCCTTAGAAGAGTTGGAGGAAGTGATTGGTTGTTGAACTTCTTCCAAGATAGACCAAAATGTTTCCAATAACGTATTGTGCAAGTGCAAGCAAGTGCACAATCCATGCCAAATTCAGGCATATGGACTGAGTTTTTAAAAACAAACAATTATAAATGCCCCCTTTATGGAACCTGGTTGCTTAACTACTGCATTTATACAGTAAATTAGAAAAAAAAACCAAGGTATTCTTGTGCCATGTTGATTCTGGAGGAACACATGTGAAAGTGAGAAGCAGTTGTTAGCAAGCAAAGATCAGCATGACTATTCCAGGCAGTATTGCCTCTTGATGCTCTGGAGTTGTGTGTTTTAGCAAGGCAACATGTAAGAGCAAGAAACTAGTGGATTCTTTCGTCAGTTTCAAATACGTATGAAATAATACAAAATTACGCAGATTTTATCAGGACATGACAAAGAGTTTGTCTTCTTAATTAATGATGATGGAATTGAAATAACTCTGTACTAAAATGCCAGAATTATACAGTTAGAAAGCAGAACTATCACCACATTACCACAATGGTTTCAGTAATGAGAAACCTATTTTGTACAATTATGGTCGATTTATTCATTCATTCATTTATTTTTTAATGCAAAGTCTCACTTTGTAGCCCAGACTGCCTTTAGACATGGGATCCTCCACCCCTCATCTCCCCAGAGCTGGTGTACACCTTGCTGAGCTGTTATCCTGTTATGGATTTTTAAAACTTTAAACATTAAACATTTATTACCAAAAGTCATTTTTTTTTATTTTTTGATGAATGGTGGGTCCTCCCTTATTCCTTTTCTCTTTTCTTTTTTCTTTCCTTTTCTCTTTCTCTTTTGTACCCTCTTGCCCTTCTCTTTTTTCCCTTTTATTTTTTGTGCTGCATTCTGTTGAATCCAGAGCTCCACATATTCAAGCACGCTAGCACTAAACTTTACCAACAGTGGATGACAGACTCTTCAGCCTATAGTTTGACTTCAAATAAGAAACAAAATTAAAAACCATGAAAAACATTTTGCTCATTTTTCCATTCTATGGAACTCAATGTTCTCTGTGTCTTTTCAATGGTGCATTTTAAAGATAATTTAGGTATCTTTTGAAAATAAGAAGACTGAATCCATTTCAGCAACCAAAGTTGTAGAGCTACTGTATACAACTATTCATTGCATGAGCTTCTTTGGCTTCTGTAATTCTTCTTGGTGGTGATCACATGTTTGCTCTTTAGGTGTAAGAGAAAAAAATGAATTAACCCATGTGCATTTCAGTGTGCTAGCAAAGTGAACGGAGGCAAGTATGGAACCACTAAAGACTACCCCGATGATGCCATCCGATTTGCAAGAATGCATCCACTAATGTATCAGCCCATAAAACCTGTTCATAAAAAACCAATACTGGTAAAAACGGATGGAAAATACAACCTGAGGCAACTAGCAGTGGATCGAGTGGAAGCAGAGGATGGCCAGTATGATGTTTTATTTATTGGGACAGGTAAGTTCCTAAGAAAGCATTGATGCGTTACAACTCACTCTCAGATATCATGTACCAATTGGCACATGTCATGTTGTTCCACTGATAAAGATGAAATGACTAAATGAATTCATACCTTAGACTAACACCATCACATTAATTCTTATTCATGGGAAGGAACTTGCAAATTGTTGAGTTCTGAGGAACACAATCTGCATGGGTGCCTCAGCTTTAAAGGTCCTCCTCTCTGTGTGCAGCACACACCTGGACACAGCAAGGCCCTTAAGAAGTGCTCTGCACTGTGAGGTGTCAAACAAGACTTTGCCTGGCCTAGAAAATGAGGTATTGCTAACACCAGTTGTTCATGCTTCTCCACACTACTACCTTTTCATTTGAAAAAATAAAGATTTAAGCAAAGAAATATTAAACTAAATTTAATAGACCCAGAGTGTAGGCTGTATTTTATCACTGTTGATAAGGTTAATAATATTCTCTGATGGTTCAATATTATATAAAAATCAAACCTCTGTAAGAATCCTAAAATTACCTGATTGTTAGTGCATACATGGTTGTTTCTGATCACTAAAAAGGGGGGATGAGGGTTCCAAAAGAAAGACTGAAGTGTGATTAAAATAATTTAAATGTTTTATTTTAAATGTCTTAGAAAGCAGAGCAAATATTCAACAACCCAAAAGCTATTCTCATTTGATTGATCAAAGCCCATTTAGAACATTCAGGAAATATCTTCTACATCATATTTAACTCACTGATATTGTCACATTGGGCCACAGTCTTCCAAAATCAAATTAAACTATTACAGACAAGTAAATTGGAAAAGCCAATAAATGGTGGATTTCTCCCCAATAATTATCAGGCCCGAGCTCTAACACAATATGAGGCTGTCATTATTGCAAAAGTTGCTGCTTCCAGACGAATAAATCAGCTTACATTTTTGCTTTTTATCTGATGTAGTAATGTACTCTAATGTGTGCTTAAGTTTCAAAATGTGACCAGTTTTATTCCTTTTAGTTAATAAAAAGTAAAGGTGATTGCTATCAGGTTAATTATAAAACAATTTTATTAACTTATATATAGGAATTGACAAATTCTCCATAGGAAATCTCACAAAATTTCATGGATTAATACTTCCAAAAGTCTAATATATTTTATGGATCTTATTTTTTGCCCATAACAAGTTATATGTGTGGGTAAGTGTATTTCTTATTGCGTTTTAAAAGTAGATAGAACAAATAATATCAGGAATAATAAAGCATAAAATGAATCTACACTAGAAATACAATTTTTTAAAACAGCAGGCAGCTATGGAACCTGAGTAGATAGATGGTCATGAATTATTGATCTTCCCTTGATGGCTGGCCAGAAAGCCCCAGATGTTACTGTCTTCACATGCCTAGCGCAAGGATTACAGGTGTGTGCCTGTGTCAAGGTTGATACAGGGGTTTTAAGACTGAATTCAGATCCTCAAGATTACATGGCAAGCAGTTTCCACACTGAGAAATTTTTCTAGCCCATCTTTTCAAATTTATATGGTTTTATGTATTCTTGATTCATTGATGTGTATAGTTTCCCTTAAATTAAAAATTTAGGGCAAAGAATCAAAAGGAACAAATTATATCAGAGAAAGTCAGGAGCTGAGAAAAGTCTTCTAGGACCTATGTTATTAACATATGTTGAATTTTTATTACCCAAACCCAGATATTTGAAAAACAGTATGCATAGGTCTTGGAATGAGCCCTGTGATATTGGATTTGCCTAGAATATGGTACACTCTGTGTTCAACACTATGAATACAAAAGTGTCTGACCCATTCTCCCCGTGCGGAGGCTTCAGGAGAGGATCATCTTGTCTGATGCATCACAAAAGAAACTTCTGAAATATGAGAGAGTTTAATTTCTGAATCTATGATTTTTGTTTTTGTATTGACCTAATCATTTGAAAGAACATGTATATTATTTAAACTTTTGGTAAGGTATGCAAAAATTGATCTTTGCTAATTAAGGTTATTGATGTATAAGTAGTCACATGCTTTTTAACTGCCTTCTTGTTTTGTGCAATCCTATTTTCAGTTCTCTTTGCAGTCTGAGTCCTTAGCCTCTCCACGTTGATTATTGCTGGAATTGCTTTTCTCACAGATACAGGAATCGTGCTGAAAGTAATCACAATTTACAACCAAGAAACAGAGGGGATGGAGGAAGTCATTCTAGAGGAACTTCAAATATTCAAGGTAATGTAATCAGCGATAAGGCCAAGATTCAGATAGCATGCACAATCAAAGCTGAAAACAGAGAGAAAGCTGTCATACTGGTTTCGGGAGGTTTTTCTCTGGTGTGTTTTGGATACAGAGAAAATTGAAGTGAAGGATAATTTAAAATCCAGTGCTTCTCTGTCACACTCAGAATGTTCAAAATTGCCAACATTCATGTAACAGAAAAACGTGTCAGTATCCAACCACTGTCCTAATGGCACACTTATTGCACATGTGAATTCCAGAGCAACTACTGAAGACTCACATTTTGCCCAAACATATTATTAACACTGTTGCTAAGTGACACATTTCAAATAGTGCATACTGTGGCAGAAGGAGCCTGATGTGTTTAACTGTAATATGTTAATTATACAAAACAGTCACCAAGAAATAGAAGTTATATGGAAAGAATAAAAATTTTTTGACAATATATATTTATGTATATGAACTTATAATCAGTAAATACATACTGTAAAGTGTCACTAATGAAACAAATATCACATTTAAGCCTACTCACCAGTCCTGAATCTCATTTCTGCCCACGAGGATCTTGCAAATTCCTGATCACAGTATTTTCATCTGAACATCTCACAGCCTTGTTTTCTGTGTGTTTCTGTTTGAAGGAACATAGTCTACATCATTGATGACATAGTGCTGAGCTCACCATCAATGACATTATAAGTCACGGCTGAATGAAGCTTCAGTCATACGTAACGGTACATTGTATCACATGTGCATTAGAGCACAGCTGTTTTGAGTTTCGGAAACACTTCATTGCACATTGGTATCATGCTTGGAGCACATTTTAAGCATCAAAACACTATTGAAAAGGTTACTAATAAAGCAAAACCAAACAATACTAACTAGTCTATGAGATGGACACTTTCTTAGACCAAAGACTGAAGGATTTGAAGAGTCACCGTACTGATCCAGCTAGGGATGTGTATATTCCATACTTCTGCTTTTTTACTGCTGTGCTGCTCCATTTGTCTGAAAAAGAAAAGCACATACTTCAGGTATTAATATTAGAATTACAATCTACAGCAGGTAGACATATCAGAATCTGCAAATGATAACGACTAACTACATATGGATATAATGGATTTCCTTTGAAAGAACTGGCTAATGGAGGAAGGTGTTTTGTCTTTGCTATCCTTCAGACTGGATTTGCTTTTTGCTTCTCCCCAGAATAGCCTCCCTTCTATCTCAACTCCTCCAAATACACTTGCTGACTTTGCACTGTAGGCATCTGTATAAGATTTCATTTCACATTTGGTACAGTAGCTCTCTTTGCCAGGACACAGGAGTGTATCTTTTTCACAAGAACACTTTAGGAAAATTGGTTCCTGGATGAATACATGAATAATGCCCGCCTGTGCAGAGTTTCATTGTCCAACTGTTACAAAAAACATTTATACATACACACATATACAAATACACACACACACACACACACACACTCACACACACACAAATAGATAAAACAAAAATAAGACAAAAACCGATAGGGTGGGAGAGGTGGCTCAGCCACAGAAGATGCTTGTTGCCAATACTAATGTCCTGACTTTGAACCCCACATGGTGGAAGAAAAGACCAGATTGCTAAAGGAAGTCCTGTCACCTCCACACATGCATCATGGTACATGGGCACACACTCAATAAATACATTCAAAGAATAATATAAAAACTAACATAAATAATCAAAGAGTTTCTCTTAAAAATTAATTCCTCAAAGGGTAAATATTTCCAGAGTGAATTCCATCTGTCTGGCATTTCTCTGCTTGGAGGATTAACATGGATTTCCTTGTGCTCCTTAAAAGGCTCAGTTATTAAGCAGCATTGTTAAACTAACCTGAAGACTGCTAATGCTATACCATAGTCTGTCCTTCCTCTATTGTTAGTCTAAGAAAATGAGGTTCTTTATCTTGATCAAAGAATGTTCAGTGATTTACTATGGTCATTCCAATACACACATGCTTCATACAGGCTTGAGTTCAAATAATTAAAAACCATAAAATTTCCTAGCCATAACAAATATTCTAAAACATAGTTTACTTCTAAAGATTTAAATACTTTAGTAAAAAGTTTATTTTATTATTCTAAAGATAAATCAGTTTGTGAATAACAAATACTATTCAAAGCAGTTACTATTTACTCCAGAGACAAAGAATAAATTATATCCACAGTTGCTTCTCATATGCTCAATTGTTCTATTATTAGAAAATAATTAAAAGGTGTGTCTTAATCATGTTGGATTTACTTAGTGATTTACTAAAGCAAGAGATACAAGCTGCAAGCATAGAACCTTTCATAACTATTTTGACTTCTTGTTAAGCAGCCGTTTCTGGATTTACTAAAGATAAGTCATTTTGATTCATTTTAGGATCCAGCCCCTATCATTTCTATGGAAATTTCTTCAAAGAGAGTAAGTTGCTTGCATGTCTGAGTATTTTCTCTTTGTTACTCAAAACCAAGGCACTTACGAATGTCAACACGTGATTTACGTAAGCAAAGAAAGTTGTTCATGGTTTTCTATAGCACTGTAGGAACATGGGCTATCTCAGGGAAGTCTGTAAACACGTCTGCTGAGCTCCTTGTTTTCTACAGCAACAGCTCTATATTGGATCAGCCTCTGCTGTGGCACAAGTCAGATTCCATCACTGCGACATGTATGGCAGCGCTTGCGCTGACTGCTGCCTGGCTCGAGACCCTTACTGTGCCTGGGATGGCATATCCTGCTCCAGGTACTACCCAACAGGTGCACACTCAAAGAGGTAAGCCATTCCTCTATATATCTCTATCTATCTATCTATCTATCTATCTATCTATCTATCTATCTATCTATCTATAATATTTTTTCTTCCTGTATTTTTTTCTTTTTGTGTCCATTCAATGAAAATAAGCTTTCCTTTTATCTAAATAAACTACCCTACTTATATTCTGATCATGAAAGTAAGCATTCATAGGTGAAATTTTTCTTCACATACTGTTGGTGCACTACAATGTACACTGACCAGACATGATCATCCTATTTGGAGTTTTTCTTTTTATCTCGCTTTGCATCAAATCTCTTCTTACTTCCCCTGCAAGGCATAATGAAGTTCAGATAAACTTAGAGTGCAGAAATGGCGAGCCACCACACTTGAAGGATTCAGAGACTTAAAAAGAAAATAAATAAATAAATAAATCCTAAAACACATCCTGCAGTTTCCCATGTCCCCTCAGGCAGCTGGTCTTCATTTATTTCATTTAGAAAGTGAATATTTTAACTCCTAGGCAAATGCATGACCTGTGTAATTAATGAAATGTGTGATTTAATTCAACACAAATGAAAGGTACCAAGAGACCTCTGAACTCTGATGTCTTTAGCTTTATGAAGTCATTGCCATTTGCAAGGAAAAGTAAACTCAAGCTATATTTAAACAGGATTTTAGGCTCACAAAGAACTTTGAAGGGTATTTTTCTACTCAAGTTATATGAGGTTGTATATATATATATTAAAAAATAAATAAGAAAAACAATCTTATATAATAAGTAGGCTGCTTTTTTTCTCATGCGGAATAAATAACACAGAGAACTATGTAAAATTCCCTCAGAAAGAAAATTTGTGTGAATTTCAATTACTTTTACCATTTAATTTTGGGTTATTTTTCCAAATATATTTTGAATCAAATTGAATCTAAATCAGTATATGTATCCTTTTAGGATCACACAAAAATTTCCCTCCCATCCTCTCTCCCTCTTTTCCTCTCTTCCTACCTCACTCTGTTTCTCTTTTTCTGTCTCTCTGTCTCTCTCTCTCTCTCTGTCTCTCTCTGTCTCTCTGTCTCTTTCTCTCTGTCTCTCTCTCTCTCTCCTACACACACACACACATACACACACACACACACACACACACACACACACACACACACACACACACACACGCACTTAGCATTCTAAGAAGGATTTAAAGACGGTAAAATAAGCCAAAGACGAAGTGAGCCTTCCAAAGAAGTGTGGGCAAAATAATTTACCAACTGTACGAAGTGCGTGAGCGACTCATTTCCTCATTTGTACAAAGACTTGTAGGTATTCCGACCCATTTGTGAAGAATACAGCTGCAGTAGTGCTTTAAACGATGAGGATCCTACTGCAGGTGCGCCATCCCGCAGGCTTGGCTATGCAGAAACAATGCAAGACCTTTGTTACAGGAAGCCAAAGCCTCAGGCATGCAGGAAGTGGAACCACAAACTGCACTGGTCGGCTCTCTGAGCACTTTGGATACTTGACCAAGTGCAATGTACAGCATGTTTTATTGCATTCTCTATAAAGCTGAGCACACTCTTACAAAAGAGTCTATGGAGGTTCTGGTTAAAACAGATGGCATGGATTGCTCAGACGGCTACGGAGGTCCGTGATCAAGGAAGGAATGAAAGACTTCAGTTCATCTGAAGGGATTGCTTTAAACTCGTGGGTTTTAACATTTTTTGAGTAAATTCACGTTGAACTAACACAAAATACAGAGATTTATGAGCTATAATAAGATGTTGCCACATATGTATATGCTGTGTAATGAATTAATCAAGGTAGATGCACTCATCTCATTAAAATTTTATCATTTAAATTCCTCTCTTTAAACTTTTAAAATCAAGGTGTGTGTGTCTATGGACAGAGGTCATCAAATGTTTCTCTAAATTTCTTTGTTGTCTGTCTTGAGTCATACCACAGCAAGTATTTTACAAATATGATCATTTTTTTGATGCATTGTCATTGGCAATCATAAAAATGTTTGTAAACCTTGCACCATTTGCTTATGAGTTGCCCACAACAATGTTGAGTTTTAAGTGAGCAAATTCCAGGGCTAGTATGTCTGTCTTCATCTGCTGTGCAGCTTTTAAAAGTAGGAAACCACATGGTTGATAATATTTATAAAACTAGGTTAAAAGAGTAACTTAGAAAAGGTTAGATAAATGTACAAAATATCAGGGAATGGAAGTGGAGGATAATATGCAGAGTGGGAAGCCTTGCTTTTAAATGAATTAACTCAGGTCACGGTACTAGAGATCTTTCACTGTGTCAGATTCCTTTCAGCCTCCACTCACTCCTGAAGGAAAAGCTTTTGAGTAAGTTCCAACATGTGGAGTTTGCTTTTATAGGATCATGTCTGCCTCAGACCCGAATAGAAGCTGGAAGAGAAAACTGGTCATTTACATAAACATTTTTTTCTTGCTCACAGAGTGAAAATGAGTCAATAGGGGAAATACTCTACTTCACAGTCTGGCCTCTTCTTTAAATGGTCTTCCAAAACACACTGTAATCGACGGAGTTGGCGCCTTTCCTTCTCCTGGATCTCCTTTTGTCTATTTCTGTTGTTGTCTTTAAAAGTTTCTAAGAAGTAAAGGATATAAGAAAAATATGCAGCCTTAAAGAATGCTAGGTTTCTTTGCTCAAACATTCTTCTTTTGATAATAGCAGGTTTTATGTGAACCTGGTACAAAGGACAATTATATTGGGATACTATAATAGGAACTGAAAGCTCTAAGGAAGATGTAACCTTTTTATAAACGCATGTCTCCAATTATTTTGAACAAATTTTTGAATTATTTATGTACCATTCAAATATCTAGAATGATGTAGAATGCTGTTTCTATTATCCTCAAATGGCTAGCATAATAATCTCAATAAAACACCATCTCTGCAATACGGAAACTCTTTCCTTCTTTGCTCGTTTTTAATATCTATTTATTTTTATATGAGTACACTGTCACTGTCTTCAGACACACCAGAAGAGGGCATCCAATCCCATTACAGATGGTTGTGAGCCACCATGTGGTTGCTGGGAATTGAACTCAGGACCTCTGGAAGAGCAGCCAGTGCTCTTGACTGCTGACCCATCTCTCCAGCCCTTCTTTGCTCTTTTCAATCCCCTCTCCTCCCATAATCACCAATGGGCAGCAGAACCATGATCATGTAAGAGAGAAAGCAATACTGAGAGTTGAAGTCACACCTTAACTGGCATCAGTCGTGAATGCTGTCTACACTAGTATTAAAAAACAAATCCCTGAATCTTCCTAACTTTGCTTTTATTATAAGTTTTTGTTCAGTCTAGCTCAATGCAATGATACATGTGGACTTTAATTTTGTAAAATTCTGGGTCTTTTGGTCATGTTTTCTGATCGGCAATTCATTTTAAACAAAATAAAAACAAGTATTCTTCTGTATATAGAGAATAACTCTGAAATTTGATTGATAATATCTTCAGCTTTTGCCTTTCCTCATGTGAGAAAACTCTCACCCATTGACTATCATTCCACTGAGGATGTTCCTAAAGACAGTGGAGAGATCTAAGACCAGAAACAATGAAAAGTTGAGACTCTAATAAGTTAAAATCGTTGCATTCAAACAACTTTTCCCTCCTTGTGCTTCATCATATGTAAGAGCTTGGTTGTACTTTCTACTCCAATAAATGTTCCTACTGGAACTATCTGCACACACCCGTTGTCATCTCTTTGCAAACTAAACGTTTCTTGTTTGTAATGTAACAAGAAAGGTGATAAATTACTATGTGAGGATCTGGAATTCAAACTTATGTAAGCATTTAAAGAGGAGCATTGGATAGATCTGCTAATCATCAAAAATATCCCACAGAAATGAAAGTGTGAAGCTTGGATTTCATGCTAGTTTTATGTAACAAATAACTTTTTTTCTGACAACAGAATTTTGATGGAATCTTCAATGTGGTTGACTGTATTTTGAAACACAGGAAATTGAAATCTCAGAGTCTTCTAAATTTTCTTTCTTCCAGGAGGTTCCGCAGGCAGGATGTTCGGCACGGCAATGCTGCCCAGCAGTGCTTTGGACAGCAGTTTGTTGGTAATTCTTAGAAAAATCAATTGTTATGATTTACCCAGTGTATTCTGAAGATGGACTGCACATTTCTGTAAATGAGTTGTTTTCCTGAAACACTGTCATTGGATGTATTGTTTCTTTCCCATATATTTAAAATCAGTGGATGGTATTATACAGAACTAGCAAAATTAGCTCCAGATAGAACCACTAAAACAATCTGATATTAGAGATTAAGACTGAAGGATGTTAGGACCAGAAACAGCATGCCAGTGACTGACGGCAGTGACTCAGGACTTACCTCTATGTAGCCTTGTCTGTCCTGGAACTCACTCTGTAGACCAGGCTCGTCTTGAACTCAGAGTCTGCCTGTCTCTGCCTCTCTGAGTCCTGAGATTAAAGGCCTGTCTCACTACCACCCAGCTCATATGATTTTACTATGTATGTAATTCATGTATCATCTTTAGAACAAATGAAAACGTTCCTCTCCTGCTACCGTAATTTTACAACTGATATGAGCTGTCCTCAAATTTATCACTGGGAGCCAGCAGTGCTTATCCCGCTTTTAGAACTTGCAGACCAGATTTTATTTATTTATTTTTTTATTTTTTTGTATCCAAGCAGACTTGGGATTCAGTGAAGGAACTCCAGCTTCTAGAAGTATGAGCAAGAGAAAGTATGGCAGTAATCTCGGGATGTTGAGAAGCCAGGTTTGAATGTGAGGGTGAAAATTCCTAGGAAGTCAGATCGTGTCTTGTTTCGACATCTGATAAGCAAGCCTCCTCCCTGCCTTGTCAGGAACCATTCTCACTGATTTCTGGTGCGCTGCCGTTTGATGTACTTCATCATTGTTGTTGCTACCCCACGGTTTAGAGCCAAGTTCTCAGATACCACATTCTAATCCACTTTCTCATTGGCTTGCCTTCTTAATTTGCATATTCCCAGTAACGGACTGTTTACACTGCTGTATGGCCTGAATAGAGTTTTTACAATTAGCAATCAAATCTCAATCTCAAAGCTGATGCTATTATCTTTCTGTTGTAGGAGACGCTTTGGATAGGACTGAAGAGAGGCTGGCTTACGGCATAGAGAGTAACAGTACTTTGTTGGAATGCACCCCAAGATCACTACAAGCAAAAGTTGTCTGGTTTGTACAGAAGGGTCGTGACGTAAGGAAAGAAGAGGTAACTCAAAGCTATGTATTCCCACTTGCTGTCTTAAAACTAGAAAAATAGGTGATTTGAATATTTAAAAGGAAACGATGTTGAGCTAAATATGTCTTACTATTTCTAGATTATAAAACACCCAAACTTGGTGAAGTGAGTTTTAAATCTTAAGCTGGGGTGGAAGACGCAGGTTAATCTTGGAGCATTAAGATCCAGCCAGACTTCTTTCTGATCTTTCTGCTAGTGAAATACCTGTCCCAAGAACACAGCATGAAGGGTCGCTAAGAAATGATACTATGGCTATCTTCTAGGCTACAAATACACTCCTGCATGTCAACACACATACAAACCCAATTTTTAACAAATAAATTTTCTTTTTAAGTGTTAATTATGTACTTATAAAATTGTATAATATAAATGTAGTGACTGTGCACATTTCAATTAGATTAACTTCTATAAGTGTATGAATTGATACTTTAAATCATGCACAATGATGGTTCCTGTATTTCTAGATGAAAGTACTTACAGCTTCATGATGAATGTCATGACGATATATTAAACTATATCTACCAAGGCAGCATTCCTGAGACATAGCAAACCAAATGTATTAACATGTCAAATAATAGTGATGCCAATATTAATAAAGCTTTAAATCAATATGTGACACAGACATGGGGTTCTAATCCACTGGGAACAAAGGCAAGCCTTACCACTCTCCACACTTTGAGTGCTTTCGGAGATTATTTTTCCAAGGTCACTTAAGGATTAGAGGCTGTGACTTCAGTACTTGGAGACACAAGGGAAGAGGCAGACTTGAAGCACACCTGGAATGGTCTGGAGATTGTTACAAGAATGTGAAGGTGACATGGGAGAGCAGGCTGCATCCAGGGCATAGTGCCTTGAGGAGAGGAGATTGCTGATCTTTACTGAGGATTTCAATTCTATTCTCACCAGTGGAATTTCACATTAGCAATAAGAATGTTTATAGCAGTGAAGAGATCCTGTTGAATACAGTGCAGATGGTCTTTGCTGAAAAGACATTTTCTAGTTGAGTGATTGATGGGATTCCTAGAGCCCCGCCTTCCTTGTGCACTGAGGAGAGCCAGGAGTGCCTGTCTGACAGGTGATCTAGGTGAACAGTAGAAATGATTACGACAGCTTTTCACTGGAGATAAATCTGTCCCTGAAGTCTAAATCATGAAGTCCCCCAAACTCACTGACTCTTTCTTTCCTTCTTACCTTCTTTCCTTCTCTCTCTCTCTCTCTCTCTCTCTCTCTCTCTCTCTCTCTCTCTCTCTCCCCCCTCCCTCCCTCCTTCCCTCCCTCTTTCTTTCTCTCTTTCTTTCTTTCTTTCTTTTTTTGGTTTGGTAGAACTAAAAACCTAACACCTTTAGTCTATAGGTATACAGTACATTTTTGAGGTGATGAAATTTATAAATTTTGGGGTTTCCTGACTATTCATTAGATAAAGCCAGATGGAGACCTGCCATTGAAAGTGGGACAGAGGCACAGACCCACACCTAATCAAGAAGCTATTTGCAATTGATAACTACTGACAAAGGGAAGATCACTTTTCTCCAATGCTGTGTCACTGGGTATATCAACCTCACCCTTTGGTGGGCCCTATGTCCAGGGGTAGTTGAATGGCACAAAACCAAATCTCCCTCTCCCCTTCCTTTCTCTCTCTCCCCCCTCTCTGTGTGTATGTAATTTTTTTTTTTGAGAGGGAGAGAGAGAGAGAGAGAGAGAGAGAGAGAGAGAGAGAGAGAGAGAGAAGATGAGAGAAAGGATGTGTGTGTGTGTGTGTGTGTGTGTGTGAGAGAGAGAGAGAGAGAGAGAGAGAGAGAGAGAGAGAATAGAGGTAGGTAGGTAGGTAGGTAGGTAGGTACATACTGGGTGAAGGGAAACACATGATTGATTTATGATAAAAATTGTAAAAACAAGAAAATTAAAAGCTTCATCATGCTAAGGCTTAGAGATAATAATGGAAGTTTATCAGGAAAGAAAAGCTCTCCTAAATTTGCATGGCAGAGTACCAACACACATATAGGCAAAGCTATTGCAGCATACTGCACTGAATTAAACTGTTTATTCATTGCCAATACATTTCCCCTTCTCAAATGTGAGATGAAATGCTTTGTAAATTCCATCGTAACACTTGGCAGGAGGGGACCTGGGAATAGTCCACAGTTCCAGCAGTCAGAAGGCGTAAAGACAGAAGTAATTCTTTCATCAGTAGACTTCTGCACTCAGTGAGCTCTGGTTCTCATTTGGAACTCATGTAATCTGCCTCATTTGGAAGTCATTCCGACATGGTGCATCCATCAGTGTTCAACTCTGAGCTCCTTTCCCATCTCGCTGGTTATGTCTACCTTCTTCCCAACTGTTCTCTAACATATATAGCTACTGATATGTAGAATTCTGCATTTACTCTCTGCATAAATATCATAGCATAGTCAGATAATTAATCATTTCGATAGACATAGCAATATATGCATTTAATTATTCACAAGTTACTGTAAGACAAAATTTCTGACTTCATCGAAGACCAAATGTATAGATTCTACACTGAAAGCATAATTACTTAGAAAGTAAGCCCTGTATTTTATTTAATGAACCTTTTGCATTTATTATCATTTCTATGTCTAATTTACTTTGAGACATAGTAAGCATATTGCCAAATGTAGACCATTATGAAGGATGTTGAATTTTGCTTAGTCAAATTCTTAGCTCCTATGAGGTTGCTGTGTGCCTTACTCCTGGCAATAGCAATCAAAATTCATTCCTCACTCACTTCATAAACTTGGAAAAGATCATTAACTTCTAAGACCATAAGGTATGAACCCCTTCCTCCTATTGAACTGAAATCTTAGATTCTAGGAATTTTATTCCCTTGAAGTATCTATAAATACCTGTTACACCGAATCTCATGGTGTTATCCATAAGTACAATATTACTATGGGTAAAATATTTGATCATGTTATTCTTTAAAAGCATATACCTGAATTGCCATGCAACATGTAAAATCTCATTTGTGTACCTTATAAACTCTGGATACTAGCACTTCTCTCAAATATATATCTTATAGTTTCCTGTTTCCTCAAATACACCATGTGGAAACAATATCTACATATTTTATTAGATCTTTAAATATAAAAGTGTGTCTTCCTAAGTATTTCATACAGGACATATTCCATTGTTTGTTATGTTTTTAATAGTTACTGGAAGCATATTAAATATTCAGTGAATAAGTTAAATATATTGGTTGCTAGACATAACATTGTGATATGCTAAGGAAAAGATTCTTAAAGTTCATTTGACAGAAGAAGTTGTTCATTTTTGCAAACCTACTGAACACAGGTCTATGCTAGGCACCTTCCTTGTTGTTGCTGGATCTCTCAAAAGAATAGTGGGTGTGATTATTTTCTTCTTACACTTACAGAAATTGAAGTTGAGAGGGTTATGGTTTATATACAATCAGTGACATACCCGATGTTTAAACTCAAAATTTCCTGACCCAGTGTTAGCTTATAGTCATTCATTGTCTGAGTATTGATGACTGTATAGTCTATAACAACCATTCTAAAAACATAGTTTATAATCAAAGTAATTGAAACCCAGAATATGTAATAACTCACACTTAATAAAATAAACCCAGGACTAGGTCTCGTTCTATTAAATGTTCTTTCTACAAAATGGCAAAATCTTCTGAAGTTAGAAATATAAATACAGTTTCAGATGCTCAGGGTGAAGAGCAAGTGGGAAACATCTCATAGCAGTAGTACAGACATTTGACACCTGCCAGTATAATCCCTACGAACACTTCAGCAGGCTGCTTCAGCTTCGCTGACAAAGCCATCATTATTCATGTTCAAGTATCTAAGAGCCCTTGCCATAATTTGATCTTTCCCCATTCTAAGCTCTGATATCAGGAATCGTTGTTAATAGTATATGCAACAATGGCTTTTCATCTTTCATGTGACTTCTGAGTCTTCTACTACTCTGTATCTTTTGGTAAAAGAGTGCTCCTGCATTTCCATGAACTGTTGTGTCCTCTGAACTTGTGTGCTTTTCACTACCCTAAGCCTTTTTTTTCCATTAATACTTTTATTCTCTGCAGTGGTCTGGTGGGTGCTGAACCCTTGTGGGTAGAGAAAGTGAAGCAAATAGAAATTGAGGTAGTTCTATAAGAGCAATGGGCTATGAAGTTACCGTGTCTTGATATCAGTTTAAGAGGGAATGGGGCCAAGAATGGGGCTACCTCTCTTTGCATAACTTGGACAATGAACAATTAAGAACTAAAGGAACTGAAAACTATGAACAAAGGGAAAAGCATATATTTAAGAAGATGTCAGACTCCAAAAGAACTAGAAAACAATTACTGATTATAGTTATCATTCATTCAATGCTTCCTGAGTGCCCTGAGCTGTTCTGAGCACTCTATACACAGTAACCTACATAAAACTTCCAGCATTTCGTGAAAAAGTATTATAATATACATTAAGAAAATGAAATTAAGTTGCCAGTAATTTTAGAGTAGATTGGTTTAAGTGACTGGAGACAGAAAGATCAGACAGGGATATGATAGAACCTAAGAGAAGAAATTAGGTAGGATATGCTAATCAGAAACATCTTTTGCAAAATGCTGAAAACACGTACTCAGTTTCTAGCAAGAACAGAGTAGCGGGAAGACTACGGAAGAAGCCATCAAGCAGTAGGGTTATGGGCACATCATGCATCTGGGTTGAATGAGAAACAGTCAGCACAGAGGGTTGTACCAAAGCTAAGATGAGAGAAGAGAGGAACTGGGAGACAAGGGGAACCATGACTTTTAGTTTGTTTCTTTTGAAATATGGGACTTGGCTCTGTTTGCAGTAGAAAGGAAGTAGCCAGCGGGGGTTAGGATGTGCGGCTAACTGGGGAAGCAAGATGAAGAACATGTGTGAGAGAATCTAATCACAGAGAAAAGTGACAGGCCAGATTCTAAAAGGAGCAAAGACTGAGCTAGAGGGATGGTT